GGGTGCATGTATGCAGATTTTGGATTTTGGAATCTAATACAATGTAGTTCTTAGGACTCTCAACACAAGAAACATGTCTTGAATTTAAGAATAAACTACAAGTGAAATATCAGATTCTGAATATGAATCTGAAACAGAATTCCTGAGAGAAAATTCACAGAGAAATATATTCTTGGAAAGTTATTAATATTTACTAAGTTAACTTACTCTGTATTTTAGTCATTTTATAACAGGAGAGAAACAAAAATAATAAAACACATTTAAAAAACTTACATTGATTTTAATCAAATCCCATTTTTGAAACATTATACAGAATAAGAAGTATTGATCAAAACATGTATGTAACGTGGTGTTATCAAAAAAGGAAGTCAGCTTTGTCAAGAAAAGCAGCAAAGTTTCTCCGAAATAACTCCGAAACACGTGGGTTGTGTCCGGGTACTCCGGTTTCCTCCCAAAGTAAGACCTCCGCGCGCTAAAATTCGGGCCAACAAGAGTGATTAGAATAAGTTGTAAAAAACGTGTTTCATGAAATGTAGCTGGAGTTTGAATCTCAGTTCCGTATTAGACTAATTTCTTTGTAGACGCTATGGTAGTCTTAATTTTCGTGTGAAAGGTTGGGGGTTCGATTCCTGTACTGGATTCAGATATAAATACGCTCCTTTGACCTTTCGTTTTGCAAAGTAGACAGGGAAAAAATTACAAAAAAAACTATATACTTTTACTATACGGAACTGGGGTCTGGTTCCCAGTTCTGTTTAGGAAAAACGTAACTGGAGTCTGACACTCAGTTCCGTATAAGACCAATTACTTGATAGAGGCAATGGTGGTCTTATTTTTCTTGTGAAAGGTTGTGGGTTCGATTCCTGTACTGGATTTAGATTTGAGTTCCCATTAGATTATAAGAGGCTGGCTATGATGTTTTTTTTCTGAAACATACCTAGTATGTTGGTCAAAGTTGCATTGATAGTGTTATTTCAAATTTAAACAGAACTAGGGTCTAGTTCCCAGTTCCGTTTATGTTAAACGGAACTAGGGTCTGGCTCCGATTTCCGTTTATGTTAAACGGAACTAAGGTCTGGTTCCCATTTCTGTTTATGTTAAACGGAACTAGAGTATGGTTTCCATTTCCGTTCATGTTAAACGGAACTAGGGTCTGGTTCCTATTTTCATTTATCTTAAACGGAAATAGGAACTAGGAACAAGGAACAATCTTCAGGCTCCCGTTTTATTTTGGTTACCTGAAAAATATATAAGAATGTTGCATTCAGATTTAAATCAAACTGGTGCCTAGTTATAAGAATACCTCAGACTAGTTACATAGTTATATATACATCTTGTTGTTTGTGATGCCAGTATCAATAATTTATTGAAAACAGTTTGGGAAAATATGAATATTTGCTAAATCTTTTAAAAATCTAATTAAGTCATAATAGACTTTATTTGTCATTTGGAAAATTATGGATCGGAGGGGGACCAGAAAAATGAGTTGGGGGAGGGGTGGGGGGTGGGTGGGGGATATTATGTAAAAAAAAGGTATAACAATGTGTTATGTTTTGATTACAGGAAAGATATTAAACATATCAAATGGACATGTCCTTTCAGATCACAGAATCAAATCTCTTTATTATGGAGTCAAAACTTTCTCAATAGTCATTGAATATTGACAAAATGCCGAATTGAAAAAGGATTAAATGAAATTCAAAATTTTAATGAACTGTTTGTTTATTTTAGGGAAAGTCAGGTTTTGACAATTTTTTTCTAATTTAAGCCTTATTCATAGTGCTGGGACAGAAGTTAATGTCACAATTTTTTAACTCAGAAGACATAAAGAAAAAAAGGAGCTACAAAAATGCACCATGCGGAATAATTGCGAATAAGTTGCACCAAAATATGTATTTGATATACATTTATATACTTGCTAATGATTGACATTTAATTCAATGAGTTCGTTAGAATTCCACCATATCCTATTTTTGTGTAGGAACTCCGAAATGTAATGTGACTTGCTGTAATTTTATCAGATAAAACTGAAATCATGTCACAGAAATCAAGAATATATTTCTGTATCACAATATTAATGACGACAAAGGATATAAATTGTTGCCTAGAAATATAAACATATAAATGTGTTCTATTTTTAAGGAACATATATTAAATTACCTATTCTAAAATCTGAAAATCTTAAGAATAACATACAAAGGTATGAGGTCAGCTTTTTTTTAACTATAAATGGTCAAAAATTAAAATGATGTAATAGGACAAAGTCACTTCTCCCACAGGGGGAACACATGTATGTTTATGTGTGCTGTGACCATTTCAGTATAGCACATGTACGTGTGTATTAGACATTTGTAACGAACCCCTTTGCTTCTACCGTGCTGTGTATGCCCTCGAAATAAACAACAAGTGTAATATCAGACTGTGAATATGAATCTGAACCAGATTTCCAGAGAGTAAATTTACAAAGAAATAAAGTTATTAATATTTACTAAGTTAACTTACTATGTGTTTTAGTAATTTTATAACGAGAGCCAAAACAAATATAAAACACATTTTAAAAACTTACATTGATTTAAATCAAATCACATTTTTGAAACATATTACAGAATAAGAAGTATTGATTAAAACATGTATGTAACGTGATGTTATCAAAAGAGGAAGCCAGCTTTGTCAAGAAAAGCAGCAACGTGTCTCCGAAATAACTCCGAAACACGTGGGTTGTGTCCGGGTACTCCGGTTTCCTCCCACAGTAAGACATCCGCGCGCTAACTTCCGGGCCAACAAGAGTGATTAGTAGAAGTTGTAAAACCTTGTTTCTTGATTTTTGTAAAATAAATAAAGCTAATAGAAATATCTAGTATATTGTACGTGATCCAGCATGCGTTAATCCACATGAGTTATACTCCCATCTGTGTCAATTGTCGTGAAAAGATTAACCCCACAATGCTACTATTTATTGGCCCTTTGTTGATGGGCCGTTAATAATGGAATGGTAATAACTAACCCCACAATTAAATTGTCATATACACGGTACAAAAAATAAACGAATACGTGTATTTTACATGAAGCTAACAACACTTAAAAACAAGGACGTGTGACCGAGAAACAACTATTATATATTGTCAGACGCATCGACAATAGCGGCAATCTTCACACAGAGTTTAGAAATCCGATACTTGGAATTGAAATTTTCTTACGGACTCCCTAAATAGTTCAGCATTGTTAGCTAACATATACATGTTCAAGCACTTTTACGAACATTGCAAAACAACCTAATCTGGAGCACTACATTCTAGGAAAGGCTTATTTATTCTCGGAATTGTTGTTCACCTACCCACTCCTTGAATAGTTCTGCATTGTTAAGGAAACTATAAATGCCCAACCACTTCATGATTTTTACGGACATTGCAAAAGTCTTCAAGCCACAGCACAAGTCGCATAAACGTAAGTGAATGTTTTTACCTTGTTGAGAATATATACACTTTAAGCATTGTTTTTGTAACTTTGTTCATTTCTTTTTATCTCATTCATTACCGTTTATATACTGCACATACAATTTTCTATGTTCCTTTTCAGATACGTTTTTTTCTTAAAACGGATTATGACATATTATGACTAATCTTTAACAATATACATATATAACTTGGGAGGCATGGTAGTCTAGTGGTAAAACGCCGGACTCGTGACCGAATGGTTGCGGGTTCACGTCACGGCACGGCACTGTGTTGTATCCTTAAGCAAGATACTTTACTCCACGTGTCCCAGTCTACGCAGCTGTAAATGAGTACGTGGCTAGCAATGTTGAATGCTGGCGTGAGCGCCGAAATGGCAGCTCCGGCTGTATGCTCCCCAGGGAATTAAAAGGTATTGGCTAGTTGCAAAGGCCCTATAACAACGGATAATAATTTGTGAACCGCTTTGAGACGACCTACAAATAGGTTGTGATAAAGCGGTATATCGAATTATCATATTATTATTATTAAATAAAGATACGAATGTTTGTCTTTGGAGTATGTGCATTGTAGTATGAATTTTATGTATCAAATTAATAACACATTTACAGGACCTATGTATTTGATTTGTTTTCACATTAAATTGTTACTATCCTGGTGTCTTCTTACATAAGGCTTTCTGCTTAATATCCATGACCTAGAACATTCCTGTAAAAATGGAAAAATAAATTTAACGATTTGTAACAAAAGCCTGGTATGCAGAATCCATATTACAATTACATGTATATATAATTATGACTATATACATGTAGTGCTTTACAATATCTTATTGATAATCACATCAGTCATAATTTAGAAATTATTGCATCAAGTTATACATATACTGCAAAATTATACCTGGTCTTCAACCAGTCTTACAGGAATGATAAATAGTGATACTATTTAGATAAGCTAGAAATATATATATACATGTAGAATACAGTCTTATAAAAATAAAAAAACGTGGCTGTTAATAACTGCTTATTCCACAATCCATATTGAAAAAATGACATGTATAATATGTGTTGCTAAATCTTTGAGGAAGTAAGTCAGATCACTAGATCAAAGATCAAAGGTGAAGGTAATTGAGGTCGAATTTCATATCTTTTTAATGGTAAATATTTATTAGTAAGCATATGAAACAATAATGTTTAGAATCGAAAAAAATAAGTTACTGTCCAACTTTAAAGGTCAAAGATGAAGGTCACTGATGTCATATTTCCTATCATTTGAAAGGTAAATATTTTGCACTATGTATATTAAGCAAGAGTGTTTAGAATGGAACATATAATTTAATGACCAACTTCAAGGTCAAATGGTAAAAGTCATTGAGGTCATATTTCATATACCTGAAGATTTGACTTTCAAAGAAATTTGTCCGGGTTTAGACGGCCGAGTAATAGTCACCTCGGCCGTCTAGCTATGAGGCAATTGACATGTCGTTTTTCACGCCGTGTTTACACAAACAACTACAATATATATTTTCCATTAAATGTATTCAGTTTTTTTTTGTATTAATTCACCTGACCTCACGTCACGTCACGTTTAAGATAACATAGACAGATTTCGTTGTCTGCACCGTCGTTATTTTATCGTTGTCCATATATATATTTATACGTATCTATATTGTTCGCAGAAAAAACATGGCAGAAATGGCTGTGACGGCAAACATGAGAAAAATGGCTGTGGCGGAGAAAAGGACTGTAAAGGCTGGTATGCATTATTTCCTTACAGATAAATAACTGACTTGAATTAACTCTCACACACACACAGAGAGAGAGAGAGAGAGAGAGAGAGAGAGAGAGAGAGAGCTTTAATATAAAAATTTAGAAAAACAGAAAAAAATTTGGTATTTCAATAATCTAGCAATGAAAAACATGGACTTTTTATCTCATAGATGTGCAATTTTAAAGACAGTGATCATATTTTAGTGATCTTTTCCGGTCGTTGAAATATCTTGCAACCAGGCACTTAAGCTGGTAACGTAATTAGCTCTACATGCTTTAACTCGTCCCCACTGTACTCACTATCGATACACTTATGTTTGATGCTATTTTATTGTAGATGTGAATATTTCATACGGAGTTGAGAAAGAGTGCCGGGTGGCTTTGATAGGTCGCTCAGGGACTGGAAAAAGTGTCACTGGAAACAACATACTTGGTTGGAAAGCTTTTCGATCTGAATTGAGTGCATCTTCAGTAACAAGTAGATGTGAAATCAACACAGCGGAGCGCTTTGGCAAGAAGTTGGTAGTAGTGGATACACCGGGATTGTATGACACGGCATTATCGAACGAAGATATCACAAAAGAAATCGTTAAATGCATAGCAATGCTCGCTCCCGGACCTCACGCCTTTATTCTTGTTGTTCAAGTAGGGCGTATCACACCAGAAGAGCAGAACACAATCACCCACTTCAGTAATGTCTTTGGTGAAGAATTCTTCAAGTACCTGATAGTACTTTTTACACGAAAAGATGACTTAGAAAACGACGATATGACCATTGATGAGTATATCAAAAAGGTTCCAGACAAACTGAAAGACATTTTACAGAGATGTGGTCGCAAATATTTAGCATTTGATAACTCTCCAAGAGGTCGGAAAACTGGCGCCGACGCACTTGAACTGGTTGAAAAGGTGCAAGATATCGTGAATGGGACTGGAACATCATACTACTCAAACGAGATGTTTGAAAAAGCAGAACAGGAGTTTCAGCGAAGAGCTGAGGAATTCCGACTTGAGGAAAAAAAGAAGATTGATAAGGAACAAAAGAAGATTCAGAAAGACCTGGAAACCGAACAAAAGAAAATTGAATCTCAGAGAAAAGAAGTTGAGGCAAGACGAATGAAAATTCAAGCAACGGAATTTGAACTTCAGAAAAAGGAAAAAAAAAAGTCTCATGAATTTGAAGAAACACTTCGAAAGCAGGAAGCTGCTAAAAAGGATCTCGAAGCAAAGGAAAGAGAAATTGAAGAAAGGGAAATCAAAAATGACAAGTTAGAGTCAAGGAGGAAACGCGATTTAGAGAAAAGAGAAAAAGAGTTCGAAGAAAAATGTGGGAGCTATCGTGACGATTTTAGAAAGGAATGCGAAAAGGGAGATGAGTCTTTTATGGTCGGACTAATGAACAGTGTAGGATCTGCAGTAGTAGCCGTAGGAAATGCAGCAGAAAAGGTTGCAGATGCAGTAGGAAAAGTTGGAAATGCAATAGGAAACATAGTTGGATTTTTTAAAGAAAAAAAATAATGATAAGGAACAAAAGAAGTTACAGAAAGACATGGAAACCGAACAAAAGAACATTGAAGCGCAGAGAACACTTTCTACAATAAAATCATGAATACGCAGAACAGTTATTTGCCTGTTCCGGATGTAACGTGTCCTATTAGTTGTCCCGGAAATAACGTGTCCAGTAAATTGTTCAGGATGTAACGCTTCCAATTAGTTGTTGCGGATGTAACATGGTCTGTTAGTTGTTCTGGATGTAATGTGTGCTGGTTTTTGTACCGGATGTAACGTGTCCTGTTAGTTGTTTTGATATAACGTGTCCTGACAGTTGTTGCGGATGTAACGTCTGCTGTTAGTTGTTCCGGATGTAACGTGTCCTGATAGATGTTTCGTATGGTACGAGCCCAGATAGTTGTTGCGGATGTAACGTGTGCTGTTAGTTGTTCCAGATGTAATGTATCCTTTTTATTGCTCAGGATGAAACGTGTCCTGAAAATGTCGAATACGAATAGAAGAAATGAAACAAAATCAGGAAGTTAATAACATGCGTGACAATTATCGTAGTGGAACGTCGATATAAGTCTGGTTTGGTGAGATAATTGGATTTGTTGCTAACAACTTAATAGGATGGTATTAGGACATAAGGTAAAGTTTACCTGGGAGAAGCATATTCTTTACAAGAAAGATCTCGATCAGACAAAAAATGAAATGTAACCAGTCTTATTCACGATATAAGGGAACGTTTACTTGGGAGAAGCATAGTAGATACGAAAACAGAAAGATCTCTTTCGGACACTTGATAAATCTAACTAGCCTAAATCATGATTAAGCAGAAAACTATCTGTTTTGCGCCATTTCTGCTTCCTCTTTTCTCAGCATATCAATACTTATATATTTTATAACAACATAACCAAGCGAAAGCGGTAAAAAAACACACCAATTATCCAGTATAAATATATTTTCATATTCTTGTTTATTTATGTGATAATAATCCCCCGTCACTATTCCTTGACTGACGTGTCCTTTCTGTTGTTCCAGCGTTAAGTATCATGTCAGTTATTTCGGATGTAAACTGTCCTATCAGTTGTTCCGTGTGTAAAAATTTCTTATCAGTTGTTCCGTGTGTAAAAAAATTCCTATCAGTTGTTCCGTGTGTAAATTGTCCTGTCAGTCGTTCCGGGTGTAAAGTTTCCTGCCAGTTGTTCCGGGTGTTAAGTGTTCTGACAGTTGTTCCGGTGTTTCATGTCCTGTCAATTGTTCCGGGTGTTACGTGTCCTGTCAGTTGTTCCAGGTGTTACCTGTCCACTCGGTTGTTCCGGTGTAAAGTGTCCTGCCAGTTGTTCTGGGTGTTAAGTGTCCTGTCAGTTGTTCCGGGTGTTACATGTCCTGTCAGTTGTTCCGGCTGTAAAATGTCCTTTCAGTTGTTCTGGGTGTTCCGTGTCCTTTCAGTTGTTCTGGGTGTTCCGTGTCCTGTCAGTTGTTCTGGGTGTTAATTGTCCTGCCAGTTGTTCCGGGTTTAATTGTCTTGTTTGATGTGCTATAGAGTGAATCTGTTGGACGTTTCATTACTAGCTAAGTATGCAGTAGAAGTATGTAATATTCAGAAAAAAAATGTTTAAAGCTGAAGATTTGGACAAGGATGACTTTATCGCATCAACACGTTTTTGTTTTTTGTTATCATTACATTTTTTTGTAAAAAGTAGAGACGTATTTGTCACCCGATACACGCGATAATGGACCGGCTCTCTAGCGATATAACTAGTTTCACAACTTGGGAGTTGTGTGTCGTACGCGTTGTGCTTTGTTTCTAAACAATATTTTTATATTTTAATATGTTTTGTTTTTGTTCTTTGATATATTGCTTATTAAAAAAGTACCCTAAACACCTATTGTTTGTTTATTTTTTATTTTCTATTTTTTGGATTCAATTGTTTATTCAAATTCAAACCGGATGACATGTCTAACTACATCCTCTCTCTCTCTCTCTCTCTCTCTCTCTCTCTCTCTCTCTCTCTCTCTCAAAGCGATACCTGGTGCCGTGCAGAACAAATATGGCACGCAATTCAGTCAGCACGGATCTGGATTTACTTTCGTGATTTTAATTTTTATTTCAAATGGTATGTAAATCAAACAAAATCCTTAAATTGTTTTGTGAAAGATTCCCAGTATTAACTACCAAATATATAAGTGTATATACTGCAAACGTGAAATTTGTCGTTGTGGAAATGCTGGCGTTTTTCCTGCTAGAAACATTTCGGTATGCGAATATTAATTGATATTGTTTGAAGAATCACAACGCGACCATTTCCACACACGATAATGTCCCAATTTACATAATTTTGTTTCTCTGCCCGAGGATTTAAAGCCACACAATATTTTACTTTTACTGTGGCACTATGACGTTTGTTGGTAAATCCTTAATGCGGATGACGACGCCGTCAAACTATTGTGATCTCGATTATATTGTTTTGTAAATGTTTGTACTTGACAGTTCTGTGACTAAAGTGAAGAGATTTTACGGCAGCAACTCATATCCATTTTAAGACACTTTTTTAAAGAACAATATAATTTATTACCTCTAACTGAGCGAGATCGGGTTATCTCAGTCGAGGGTTAAGATTCTGTAACAAAATCCCAACCGAGGCTCAATAGTTTATCCCGAGGGTTTGAATAACCGTATCCTTACCTCATATCAGGGATGGATTATATTTCTTGTTTATTACCTCAGTTACAGGTAATTGACTTTTTTTCTCGCACTGTTACGTTCGAAAACAAATTTCAATTTTGCTAAAAACTACAAGTATCCCGCCTTGGGCCTCAAATGATAATGACCTCTTTACTACTTAAGCTACATTTGAATGCTTCCGCGTAAAAACGTAGTCCGTCCTTACATAGATTACAACGTATTTCACAGTGTAGAATATATTATATCTACAACATCAAATATCTAACAACATCAAAACTATACATATAACGACAAAACAGAACATTTTTATTGCAAAATGTCAATTTCAAGTAGTTAAAGCGCGGATAAATACATCGCAGTGTAAAAATTCTGCGAAATGCCACGTAAAGGAACAAGACAGATTGGACGAGATAGAAAAATCTAGAATGGGGTATGACGTGGGATATCTCTGCCTGATGTGCGAGAACATATCTTACAATTACTATGGTGGAAATATAGACACAAAGTACACATGACAGAAATCGGACAAAAGGGGCCTTCCACCATTTGGAAGACATGGTTTTGATATTAGTCAGGCGGTCGCTTATATATACCACTCATATGACTAGTATACAGAATAACCATACCGTGACGGCTAAGTAACAGATATACACAATAAGTTTAAGGAGTGTGTATGGCTTACCTGCTAACTATATCACATCTGTGTCCAAAGGTCCATGATATTTTTTTAAACAAGATAATTCTCATACTCTACACGCTACATGTGGGTGTTTGTTGGATTTTTTTAATATTCTACACATAATAAACACTCACTGAAATATTATGACTTCGAGCTACTTTAAATGTCCTCATCTGAAGAACAACACGGCCTAGGGGCAATATATTAGTCTGGTTGCTTCGCAGGATGGCGTCTGACAAAGTTAAGGAATAAAAATGACATTTACCACCTTTCATTGTCACAGGGATGAAATATGTAAAAATCTGCGAGCTTTTCTCTTGATGAAGTAAAACACCTATAGAGTCATGTTATAAGGCAAACAGCTTTAATAGATAAAGCCCGGTAAAATGTCTTAACTAAGAATGACGTATGCTGTCTTTTAGGGACCGCAGAACCAAATGATTTTCCATAGACGGTAGTGTTAACGTTTACCACTGTCCTGGTTAATTGGGGTTATCCACACTAGTTCACCAGCCCTCATTTTGAAAAATGTCATCTCACACACACCTGTAAAAAAGAAGTTTAAAAATTCTATTTTAAACAAGATAATACTCTACACGCTATGTGGGTGTTTGTTGGTGTTTTTTTTAATATTTTACACATTATAAAGATTCACTGAAAGATTTTTAACATTTTTAAACGGATATGAACCTAAAAAATTGTCTTAGTAATATATTCAGACCGCTCAATTCATAGCGTTTTTAATCATCAAATCACATGCCAGTTATTATCAACCGAGGTTCTTCGTTTATTAAGAAGAAATGTTTTAAAAAGTTTAATACATATGATATTTAATACCTTTAAAGTGGGTCTAAGTAATTCATTTTAAAAAGAACGTGACGATCCTGCATCCTAACACATTCCTGACCAAATATAATACCCTAGATAGATATCTTGATAATAGAAAAGAAGTATTTGACATGTATTGCCTTAAAAGTGCATGATAGCAATCCATACGAGAATGACATCGGCCAGGTTTCATTATGCTTGGCATTTGGGTTATTAAAGTGTATAGCCCATTTGATCTTTGTTATCCTGAAATTGTGTTAAAAGAAATTTATTCAGCCAAATTTGAAATAACAACAAATATGACAAAAGGCAAAATAAACAATACTGTACGTTTGTTATTAAATAAAAAACACCATTTTGGAAATCTGTCGTCTCCAAAAATGGATACTGTAATGGTTGTGGTGGTGGTGATGGTGGTGGTGGTGGTGGTGGTGATGGTGGTGGTGGTGGTGTTGGTGGTGGTAACGGTGTTGGTGATGGTGGTGGTGATGGTGGTGGTGATGGTGGTGGTAATGGTGGTGATGGTGATGGTGGTGGTGGTGGTGGTGGTGGTGATGGTGGTGGTGGTGATGGTGGTGGTGGTGGTGGTGATGGTGGTGGTGGTGATGGTGGTGGTGGTGGTGGTGATGGTGGTGGTGGTGATGGTGGTGATGGTGATGGTGATGGTGGTGGTGATGGTGATGGTTGTGGTAGTGTTGATGTTGATGGCGATGGTGGTGGTGATGGTGGTAGTGATGGTGAAGGTGGTGGTGGTGATGGTGGTGGTGATAGTAATGGTGGTGGTGGTGATGGTGGTGGTGATGGTGGTGGTGGTGATGGTGGTGGTG